ATACAGGGTTTCTACGCATCTGGAAAGTCAGGAATTTTCATTAGTGTTTGGAAGAAGTCATGGAAAGTCGGGGAATTTATCGGAAATTGTCAAAACGTCAGGGAATTTGTCTCCTTAGCTGCCTTGCTGTTTTCATTTACTGAATGTGGCTGACCAAGCGTAGCCATCTGCAGGTGGCAACAAATAATGCTACAATCTTTAATAAGAAAATATACCAGAATCTGTTTTGAAATGGTTTTTTTCATCATTCTGAAGCCATATAATTTTACAGTTGTGGATTAGTAACAGGATAAACTGCTTTTATGTAATAGTGTTTAATTTTAATTTTAATAATTCAGCGATTATAAAAAGATGAAATTGTCAATTAGAATAAAAAATAACTAATTAAAAATTTGTTTGCAAACTTTTAAAAAAGTTGAAATCATAATTTATTAGATATTAGAATGTTCACTTCAAAATAGCTAAATAGATCAGTAAAAACTGTAATTTAATCGTTTTTCACATTTAAAACATTACTACACAAAAAAAAATTATAAATAGTTACCTGACATTTAAAGTAAAATGCTGGTGCCGACTTGTGGTTGGCATGAGCGTTTTACATTTTTGTTACGATTTTCCTTGAAAGTACTGTACTTCAAGCATATTTTTCCCTCTCTCTTCTGTTAATTTCTGCAACTTCAATATATAGTTTAATAATTAGTTTAACAGAAATTACATTGGGTAACAGATATCATTGATTTTGGCAAATTTAGGGCTTAAAAGCTAGGAACATTGATCATACTTGCAATAGATATACTGTAGTTATAGTTTTGAAAATCAATTAGGTAATCCGATAGTTTAACCAATGTTAACTTGCTTATAATTAAAATTTAAAAAGCTGGTAAATTTTAAAAATCTATTAAATTACTAAAAATTTAAAGTAAATTTGATTATCTTTTGTGCAAAACAACAACAAAACAATTTTTATAGTTATGTTGAACAATTCTTATAGTTACGTTGCAAAAGAAAGAGATTTGTAGTTACGATTCTATGCGCTGAACTTCTATATTTTATTAACTTCTAATTGTAATTTCATTTGATGTTTATTTCTGTATTTACTTTATTTTATTTAAATTCTATAAGTTTTAAGAATCCCAATTTTTGTAATACTGTGATGTCATAGGAATGCAAGTGTGAGATTCCAAAATTGTCACGGAACTCACTAAAATATAAAATATTTAACTGTATTGTAAGCATATTTGTACAATAAATGGGTTAAACAGTAAAGAGGTGTCTTCATATGTCTGTATCATGTTTCCCACATACTTATTAGTCCCTCGACTTTCCTGACATTGAGAGAATCCATTTTATCCCCTTTATTTTCCCAAAGGGAAAGAGTCATCATATTTGACACAAGTGAAACTCAAAGTTTCAAATCTTATTGTAAAGTACTATTTTTAGTGTTTTGCTCTACAACGAATTTTTTTCTTAAAGAGCCGGGACCCAACGGGTACTTTACGCGGGTTCGTGTTTGTTAGTTGCCAGGCCTGGACTTTTCGCGTGCACCGAAATAAAGTAAGGACAAAGTTAGTCACAAAATCTCAATAATAAATGTTTAATCAAGTCTAACAAATACTATGTACAAATTTTTGAAACAAACAACAAATTTATTAAATAAGAAATCAAATCACAATCAACCCGACAAACTTAAGTCTTATTCTAACTTAGAAACTATTCCCCTTGGAATTCCGACAAAACAAAATTCAATCTTAACTTAGTTACAAATTCTCTTATAACTATTGATCCTAACTGTCACCTCAATTAATACTCGGAACCTTTTTCTTCCACTCAAGACTTTCCTCTTTTCCTATCGTCAAAATCGAACCTTCAATCTCCTACTAGGATTTCCTATTCGACACCTTTTTCACTGCTACCAGCAGNTCGCATTTTCTCGATTATAATGCACACTTTCTTTTTTCCGACTTAATTAATTCGACTCGGTTCTTTTCGTTCGCTCCTCAGTTACGTGTATTACGTCATCAATATATAAGCGCATCCTATCTCTCCATCACTTTGCTTTTGTTAGTTTAGATACATTTTAACTTTAAAAATAAAATATTTAGAAATGTAGTTAGTTTGTTTAATTTTAACTTTTTCTTTCAGTTGGTACAATTTTTCCCTGCGAATTTTGTGGTGACTTTTTCCCCGATGTTGCTTTAATTGAGCATCAGGTGAGTTAGAAGCATTTATAAGTACAGTACCTTGTCACCAACCTAGAAGTTTCTGCATGAATAAAAGGAAAGTTTGTTGAGTGTTTACATCTGCAAGTTATTCATGTTTGGAAAATAACTGATAAAATATAAAAAGAAATCTTCTTTTATTTCCAATTCATAGAAAGCAAGTTTGAAATACAGTACATGTGACCATAATTGGAAAAAAAAGACGACCTTGGTTGAAAAACCACCATCTTTCACTATCTTTGAAGTTTGTACAGGAAGTTTGTATTCTGCTAAAGGAGAGATTACAAAATGGAAAGGAAATCAGGTTTTCCTGATTTCCTTACCATTTTGTAATCCCTCCTTTAGCAGAATACAAGTCGCCCCTGTCATTTTGGAGACTTGATGTTGGCATAGTAGACAGAAGACACTGGCCTACATCTTGCAAGATTCTTTTCTTAAAATGGTTATCAATTTGTTTTTGTTCCTTGGCTCTATTTTATGGACTTATTTCTTGTTGAAAAGTCATAAATCTTCTATAGGGTTCACATGTGGAGAATTGGATAGCTAGTCAATAACCTAGATGTTGTGGTTTCTTAACCATGCAACAATGGAAGCTACAGTATTACCTTTAGCACTGTTGAAATGGGAAGTTACCTTTAGGAGCCAGTTTGTCAAGAAATGGGAGGAGGGTGTCGTTTAACAGTCTCTTCTAGTCAACTGCCTCTAACATTTAATCATAAGGAACCATATCACCTATGCCAGCAATATTGAAACATACTCATATTTGCATCTTAAGTGGAAACTTAACTTGCTATAAAACTTATGACTCACCAACCAATCAACCGGTGTGAATAACGTTTAAGTGACAAATGTTTTTGTTACCCCTTCTGGCACTTCAAGTCAGTTCTTAATTCAAGTAGGCTGGCCATTGACATTCGAAAATAAATCCAATGGTACAGATTTTGAATACAGTATGTGAATGCATTCTCCATAAGATGTTTTAAAAAAATGAGCGCCCGAAGGTCTGGGTAGCATAACTGGCAACACGTCTGCATGGTAAGCAGGAGTTGTGAGTTTGAGTCTTGCTTTGGGCCGATTCTTTTCTTCCAGTTTAATCTAAATTAATTAAATATTATAATTATTAATTTTAATAAGAGATGGTGCCTAATGCCTCACTCTAGTGCCAAATTAATTTCTAATCTATAATCATATATCCAAAATTTAGCCCAATCATTTACTGCAGTTGTAGGTATATTTGCTTAAGATATCTGGTTTTGATTGATGTGTATATTTGTATAAAAATGATCAAACATTAAGTCGAGTTGGAAGGCAGAAAATTACTGTGCATGCATTCGGTTCAAAATACAATTAAAAATTAAATGTTTTTGTCAAGTATAGCCTGCCATGCCATCGACAGACATATCTCTTCCTTAAAATTAATGCACGTGGTTCTGCTGCAGGCTTTGAAAATTTAATTTAATATCAATGGCCAGCCTACTTGAAATAAGAATTAACCCCAGAAGGGATAACGAAAACGTTTGTCACTTAAACGTTATTCACACCGGTTGATTGGTTGGTGAGTCATAAGTTTTATTTACATCCTGGTGTTGTGCAGTTGAACATTAACTTGCTATTTGATGCAGCTTTTCTTCAGGCTTTCATTTGTCATTCTGATGATTCTGCATCCAGTATTTCCATACATACAAGATCTCGAAAGTCAACTTGTTGGACCATATTATTCAATGCCAATCCTGATCTATCCAACAACGATGATCCTTAATCCACTGATATCGTTTCTTCTTCTGGCCTTCATTAGTAAAGGCTATTGCTTGGCTTTGTAGAATCTGTAATAGTTTTCTTTTACCTTTCAGTGGTTATTTTGATCAAAACTTGCCTACCATTCTTTTCTTTCCCATAATGCTGCAGATTCTGGTATGTTCCTGCTCATCAAGTCTCAGTTTCTCAGATAAACATGCAATCTCGTTGTCCAATTTAGTCTTTCATCTTCCACATCTCTTTGGCACAATGAATTCAGCAGAATCATAGTGCTTAAGGAAGGACAGAACTGAGAATTTGGGAATGGAGAGGTTTCTCCCAACTTCCCATCTCTTCTGTTCTCTCTACAGAAAATGGAAGAGAGCCAATAGATACCTTTTGTCTAATATGCATAAAGATGTTGCCACTCTGTTTTATCATTTCTCTTTATGTATAATTTACTAGTATGTAATAATACAGTTTGTTTACATTTACTAAATTCATATAATCAAAACTTGTGTAATAAACAAAATATACTTTTCCTTTTTACTGTTATACAGTAATACCTCGACTTACGCTACACTTACTTACGCAAACCTGGAGTTACGTGATTTTCAAATCTCGTCAATTTGTCTTTTGTTTGAGCGCCACACAACTCTTGATTACTCACTACCCCCACACTATTGTTCAGCTTACATGTTTGGACGTGTCGCGTGGAATTGACACATACCTACAATTTATTTTGTGTTATTTATTTCTGTATTTGTTATATCTACAGAGACTTACAAGAAATCACCAGATAGTCTCTCAGACTCTATCTGGTGATTTCTTGTAACCGTGAATGAATCAAAAGACAAGATAATATTAACAAGAACATTTATTAGTTTACATACATCCGACTTGGATTTTACACAAATTGCGAAATTATACCCCGACTTACGCGAATTCGACTTACGTGGTTATCGTGAAAGTTCGGGGTATTACTATATTTTTATTTTTAATTAAAATTTTATATACTTAAGGTTAACTATAACTTACATTTTACAGGCCACCTGTAGGTCGGAATCATTATCCGAATTTGACTTGTTACCCGAAGGAGGCGAGGGTTATTCAGAAGAAGACATACCCTGTGAATTTTGTGGAGATCTGTTCCCTCTGGAATTGCTCATTTTACATCAAGTGAGTGTTAAAACTCATTTATTAAATATAATGCATTCATTATATTTCAATTTGTTGCTTACATTTTATATGTAGTCTGGATGTAGACCCGATCTCATTCATCATTCTCAGTCTGGAGGAAACACGCCATCCACCAAGGAGACATCAAATGTTCCTTCTTCTAAAAACACAGCCACAAATAAAGAAAATTCACTCATTCCTTGTGAATTCTGTCATAACAAGTTTTTACCCACAGCACTGATAGAGCATCAGGTACTGTACATATTGTTTATTTGTTATGGAGATGAAATTTATTAATTTATACAATTTAGTAAACAACTTGAAGTAATTTCCACTATATAATTTCACTTTTCTCAATATGTTGCTAATAGCTGTCCATAGTCTTTATCTGTTAAAAAGTAAAATTAGAAGGTACAGGGAAAAAAGAAAACTTTTTTTTTGCATTTGTAATAAATACGGACAACTTTATTTTGTAATAATGAAAAGTGCTCCCATAACAGACAACTTGGGCACTATAGTGGCCAATTTCTTAAAGCAAACGTGTAATGTTTGAAAAAGTGGAATGGTAGGGAAATAGAATCTGTCGCATCCAGTACAAGTATCTGAATACATTTGTGTTCAAAGCAATGAACCCATTACTGTTGCTACTGCTGAATACTGGAAATTTTTTTTGTTATCCCGGTACCCAAGGTAATTTGGATAAGCAGTGTTTCTCAATCTGTAGTCCATGTACTTCTGAGAGTTTATGGGAAAAAAGAAACAAATTAGATCATGGAATAATGAAAATGCTTTTCCTAATATTTATCTTTATTAGGAACATTGTTAATGATTAAATTAAAAAATATAAAATTATTTAAATTAATGTGTAATTTTTAAAACAAAGACATTATTATATTTATATTAAAAGTAATCATTGTTTCAAAATATATATAAAATACTACCATAATTCTATTCTAATGAGCCATCAAAGCTTTATTAAGGGGGTCCACTGGAAGTTTGAAGAACACTGTGCTTGTCCTCAAGGCATTTCATACTCAAAAGCATGCAGTTTCCCAACTTCTCAAAATTTATATTAATTTGTTTTTTCTTACAATTTTAACAAAAATGGAATGTTGACAATAAACATATCAAAACTATTGCAAGATATAAAAAATAGTGAAATGCTGACTTAATCGGTAAAAGTGATGTATCAGAAATTACATTAGAGAAAGAGTGCAAAAATAAGAGTCACACAATGTAGAGATACATCAAAACTTTAAATTTATACATAACATGTAATTTATGTCAAGTATAAAGAATTAATTTTTTGGTGCAAATAAGACAAAGTGAGATGAAAAGACTTAAATGCACTATACAAAAATTTCTTTAAAGACTCCATCAAAATGTACAATAGAGATGTAAACAATACACAAATACCATTCACTAATTTGTTGCTATAGCTAGAGACTAACTTTGTACTCAATTTTTGAACCTCCCACAAACATTACTGAGTTTAATTTTTACACATAAAATACTTATTGTTATTTTGCATTATAAGAGTATTTTAAAATCATTCAGAATTAAGGTACAATTGACAATATACTGAAACCAATATACAGGGTGTCCAAGAAAGATCTTTATCATTCTAAACATGAATAATAAAAATACTAACAGGTGAAATGAAATGCAGTTTGCTGCAAGAGAATGAAGACATCTAAGAGTTTTTTCTGGTATCAATTGCCTGAGGTAGATGGATTAATTGGTCATGAAGGACCCATATCTTGGCCTCCGCAATTGCTCGACATAACTCCACTGGATTTCTTTTTTTTGGGGGGGGTTATGTTAAAGACAGGGTTTATCAAACACCTGTTTCTGATATATCCATTTTAAAGGAAAAGATACAATTCACATACAGTACGTGAGCTCCATTAGTACAGTAGCACGAACAATGGCGAATCTGCTCAATTTTCCTCCAAGTGTTTTTTAACTTTTGCGGTGTAACAGTGAGGATTGCTAATTTGAAAATGGTAATTAACAGTGGAATCACAGAAATACCATTCTTTATCAACATCTAATAAATGTCTTGTAATATTTTCCTTATATTTTGCAATATTTTTGCTTTTGCACTTGTTTTAGCTATTTTGCATTTTCACAAATATTACAAAGTTGTTCTGCTTCCAATTAATACAGGTTTGAATATTTATGATCACTTCAAGATGTATCTAATTGTTTATTTAATCATTCTAAAGTAAGATTAAGTTGTAAGAGGAAAATAATTTTAATTTGCTTTTTATTTTCAGTCTTTTTGTGAAATTAAAAATGCATATGAGGAGTCTGATGTATTAGAAGATAGTATTCACAGAACGAAAAGTGATCAGAATCAACCTGAAGATATACCATGTGAATTCTGTGGTGAACCATTTCCAATTGAATTTCTTATCGATCATCAAGTAAGAAAGGTTCCTAATTGTCCATAATTTTTCATATTTTTCTGTTAAGTTTATAGTTTGCTTAGACAGTAAATTTGGTATATACAAATATAAGCATATTTGAACAAATTTGACAACTTCACAAACTCTGTTTGGTGATATAATATGCTAAATCATTATTACTAATTTATTTCATTGTGGGTTCAAATCCAGCTTCAGATGGCATTTTGTTTATCAGATTTTAGAAGAATTTTGTTCTTTGCAGGAAGGAACAACATAGCTACAATAATGTGTTTTTTCCACTCAGAGCAATTGCACTGTGTACAGTAATACCCCGAACTTATGCGATAGGTGGGACCGAGCGATAACCATGTAAGTTGAATTCGTGTAAGTCGGGGGTATAATTTCACAATTAGTGTAAAACCCAAGTCGGACGTATGTAAGCTAATAAATGTTCTCATTAATCTTATCTCGTCTTTTGATTCATTCACAGTTACAAGAAATCACCACATAGAGTCTCTTGAGTCTCCTTAGATATAACAAACACAGAAATAAATAACACAAAATAAATTGTAGCTATGCGTCGATTCCGCACAACACATCCGATCACAAGCCAAACAATAGTGTGGGGGGAGTGAGTAATCGAGAGTTGCGTGGCGACAAATCGACGAGATTTGAAAATTGCGTAACTCCGGGTTCACGCAAGTCGAGGTATTACTGTATTTGGCTATTGAACAGAAATGAGTTGTATCAATCATTGCACTTTTGGTTTCATAAATGCAATTCTTATGTTGACATTGTCATAATGTTACTGCAAGTGGGTTCTTGCATCAGAATTGTAGAAATGTCAGTGTAATTTTGTCTGTATGCTATTAGCATTATATCATTTAACAATGTTAATAGCACAAACATAACAGTAAATACTATTTATTTTTACTTATTTTGGAAAGCACACCAAAGATTTCTGCATTACAGCAAAATATTGCTAAGATGCAAAAATCTTTAGTCACAATACTGCATTGCAATGCAAAGTCATAATTTTCACGGTCTATAATTGCACTGCAAAATACATTATTTGCTCAGGTTGACGAGCAAGTATAAAAGTTTGATAATTAATTTAATTTACACTATTGTAAAAGTATCAAATCATAATGATCTGTAATCATTCTTATTATTGAATTACATAAATCATCTAGGAAATCAAATGTAATTTTATTTAGTATTTTACATGGTAAATTTGAATGATTATTATGTGAAATTTATTACAGAAGAAGAAGAAGAAGAATGATCCCATTTAAAATACAAATATTGTAAAATACAAAACAGAGAAAACAATGTTAAGTTTAAATATACTGACATGAAAAATTATATGAATGCATTTATTTTGCATGAGATATGTTTGCAAAAGATATAATTTTACTTGCCTCTGAATCTAATCATTTTTCTAGTGAGACTGTAACAAAAATTCTACAAATAAAAAAGGATTATTTTGTTTAAAGGAATGAATGCAAGGTTAAAATTATCAAAGAAACAATTCTACATAAATTTTATGAACTTTGTTCATAAAAAAGAAAAAAAAAAAAAAAGTAAAACCTTTATTAAATTATAAATGCCAGTACTGGACTTTGTGACTACAAAACAAAATATATACAGTAGAGTGTCGTTTATCCGAATCAATTGGGGACTGGGGTTGTTCGGATAACTTGTTTTTCGGATAATCGATTATGTACGAAAAAATATATTAACCTATCCTGTGTTGAAATTTTTCTCTGTTGCGTGTCGCTTTGCGTTGAATTTTCGTCGATGTTAAGCCTAATGTAGACTTTTTAAAATAATAATTGTGACTATTGTATCTTTAAAAATTATTTCTTTATTTTTTACAAACGAAATAAATATATTGAAAAATATAAAAACAAAAAAAATTACACTTTAGAAGTTAATTAATCTAGTATCAAAAACGTTCGACTCAGCACGACAGACAGTCCTCAGAAAAACACCACACAAAAGTGTCAGTGCTGCCAGCTAAAACACACGCATCAACAAAAAAAAAATATTGGAGTAGCCCAAGATATTGCCAAAGATTGCAGTGCCACAGCACTAGCAAAAATTTAAATTTGCTGACTGAAATTCTTTCGGATAACTGATGTTTCGGATAAACGATGCTCTACTGTATTACAATAACAACAACAGTTAGTATAAAACTCGTGTCACAAATTTCAATTTTGTAATTGAAACAATAAAATTGATTATTAACATGAGGGGAGTCTGATATTAAAGATACAGACCAAAATTACTAGTGATGCCATGAATAGTGATTTTGCCGAATACCAAATATTTGGCTACGCTCTTGGCCGAAGCACCGAATGTTCGGCAGAATATGTGTACATTTTGCGGGTGACAGGTTACAACCTGTTTCATTGTGGTGGGTGCGGTAGCGACACCACGGGCATATTTGTTTTATTTGTGAGTATATCGTGTCATGACATGCATTATTTATTTATTGTTACATCAAATTGTGTTACTAATAGTCCTTATCACTAAAAAATATCACTGTTTGTGTCACTTTATATGAAAACTGTTTGCCTAGATCAGACGGCAGACCTTTACAAGTGGTGGTCAGAAAACGCAAAACCCAACATCCCAATATCAGAACGAATCGCACTAATACAGTTCGCAGGTAATAAGATCAACCTGAACGTGCTCCAGGTCTACGCATCTACAGCGAACAAAGACGATCAAGAAATAGAATTGTTCTACAACCAGCTAAGCAACACCTTAAAGCCATTGAAGAAGCACGACATTACGGTCATCCTCGGTGACTTTAATGCCAAAGTCGGTCAAGGAAAACTACAAAACATAGTCGGAGAACATGGCTTGGGGACACGGAATGAACGAGGTGACAGGCTTGTACAGTTCTGTCAAGAAGAAAAATTTAGCGTCGTAAATACTTGGTTTAAATTACCTCCTCGACGACTGTACACCTGGACCTCGCCACAAGACGCTGACAACAATATCGTCAGGAACCAAATTGATTACATCTTAATTAACATCAGATATAAGTCAAGTGCCCTCAGGGCAAAAACGTACCCTGGAGCTGACATATCATCAGACCATAACCCAGTGACAGTAACACTACGCCTCAAACTGCGATCAGCAAAACACACAAGAGCAACAAAAAGATTTGATCTGGAGAAGCTGAAGAATAATGCCTTCAGGCAACAATTACAGTTGCATCTCAACAATTCAATCAGATCGATCGAAGCAGCAACAACAGACGTACAAGCGTTCGGGCGTTCACTGAAACAGTGCATCAACGAAACAGCAGAAACCCTGCTGGGACATCAGGCAC